GGATCTTGTGTCTGAATATGTGTGTGTGGAAGTGTGTGTTCTACAGGCTCTTCTCCGTGGCACTAGTGTCCTTGGGATCCCTGTTGGACATAGAAGAGTAGAATCAGACGGAGGTACACACTAAAGTGTGAAGCTGTGTGTGTGTGTGTGTGTCCTTGTTTTTCCTACATCGTGGGGCCCAGTTTTAAGAAAAACACAGCCTCGGGGGGTCAGGATGCTCCTTGTGGGGCCCAAAGCCTGGGCCCCACAAGGAGCACCCGGACCCCACGAGGCTGTGTTTTCCTTAAAACTGGGCCCCACGATGTAGGATAAACAAGGACACACACACACACACACACACACAGCTTCACACTTTAGTGTGTACCTCCGTCTGATTCTACTCTTCTATGTCCAACAGGGATCCCAAGGACACTAGTGCCACGGAGAAGAGCCTGTAGAACACACACTTCCACACACACATATTCAGACACAAGATCCTGACTCTTCAGTGTCTCTTTTATGCTTGAAACAGTTGGAGGTTGTGGTGCTGTAGCATTTTAGCCAAAGTATATAATAGCTCGTCTTCTAACTTTTACGTTCTGTGAAATCTCAATTTGCGCGACGCGTTTTTCTTACCTGTGTTACTTGGAATAGAAGTTGAATAGAAACATATTTATCTTTGCTTTAATAGAACTGACCTCACAGCCTTCAGCAGAAGTCAACCTGAAGGATAGTTCAGAAGTGGGGTTCTGTGGAACAAAAACAGTAAATATCTTATCTGTTGTAGATAACTTTTTAGAGTTTAATTTTATGGGACAAATAAGCAAACTTAAGTAGATTGTTGCCTTCTTATAAAACAACTTTAAAATTGATGGGACTAGGCATTAGCTCATCAATTCGACTCCAACTTGACGTCGCTGCACGAACTTTTGTACATCAGAAAATATATTTATTGTTTATACTTTTTTTCACAAAACCCCACTTGAACTGTCACTTTAATGTTAAATGTTTTCACTGAACTAAATGTTTGGTGTCACATTTTTGTCTTCTCCAAATTTTATAGCATGTCTCCTTAAAGAGATGTTTGTAGACCATWTCCTGGAAACGGGTTGAATGTCCTGCATCCTGGGAGTTCAACCAAAGATGGTTTCTACTTGAAAACGTTAAGATTTTGATCAAATTTCACCATTTCTGTGTGCCAAAATGACCCCCCTGCAATGTGTTTAAAGTAGGTTTGTGTAAAGGAGGATTTTTTTATCTTTCAAGCTAAATTTTCTCCACAAACTATTAATTTCTGCTCTTGTGACAAAATTTAAAACGAAAGATTTTTGACTTTTTGGTCCCATTTCTATTGTCACTGAGCGGTAATTTATGTTAGTGGAGCCAACAGCCATGAATTGGATTCAATTTATTATCTGTAATATTCACTTTACYTTTTGTGTGTTTACATGCACCCTTAAAAGGTTTCCATATATATTTGCATCCTACAACTAAAATGCAAAACTAAGTTAGTTCTTAAAAATCATGTTTTGTTCTGATTGGTCTGCTCCAGTGGTCCGGTCATGACCCACTAACCCAGATTATAATATGGTAAATATGGTACATGACTCAGCACATTTTCATAGTAAAAGCACTTTTAAGAACAGGAAAATTTCTATTTAATTCTACATAAACAGGATTTTACTTCCAAAAGCTTTGGTCACACAGTTACAGCTTAATGTGGAARCTTCAGTGCCTTGTTTCCTCCAAACATTATTTGTTTTTGTATATAGAAAGAAGCTGCTATTATGTGAATTTGTAAAATTAAGATGGAACTTCAGAAAGCAARTCCTAGTAGAAAAGCAACTGCTCTTAGTAAAAGCTAAAACCGCTGTTTAAAGTATGTATTTTGTACCTTACAGGGTGCATTCATAGTATTTYTGTGTAATTTTGTCTGTAGATTTTCAGTTTGACAGCATTAGCTTTGTGTTAGCATTAGCTTGTGAGCATGTGTGAGAAGAACCAAACTCATTTGTTTAATTTAGGCATAYGTACTCATGTCTGTTGATGCCACACAGCACAAAAAAGTGAAAATTTTTCATTATTTTTACTTGTTTTTACTATATTTTTTTTCTTGTTACAACATTTTCACATTACTACAATGTGTCTACCTATCATGTTAAAATGTGATTAATTCTCACATTCAAACTATGTTTTTACATATTATAAAAATATATTGTATTAATGTGATTTTTTTTGTTTCATGTGTTGTAATTTGAAAACAATTTATTACACGAAATCTATATTGTAAGAGTATGAACAATTTCATATTGCATTATAAAAAATACAAAACAGGAAAAAAATTTTTTTGTTAGGAATAGCATCAATATTCTTCCATACAAACCATATGTAAACTTTAGGTGAATAGGTGAAGAAAAACCTACTAAATTCAACCGGAATTAAAGTTAAACTTCCAATAYGTTTGTGACAAGTATTGCAAGAAATGCAAGGTTTTAAATATCAGATTAGTGACAAAGAAAATCACTAATAAGCAAATCAGTCTGAAAAAAATCTGAAGCTGGAAACCATTTGTAATGAATTATTTGTGCTCATTTCAACCAACTAGAATGTTAAAATAGTTTGTCTACAAGTAATCTGACCAATCAGCAACATAAACAGATTTATTTAGGAAACGTGAATTACTTGAAGTTTTGCGTGCATGTGAACACAGCCAGTACTTTTGGAGTTTCACAGGTGTAGAGATGCAGCTGTGAGTCTTTGAAAACATTGTAACAGAAAAATTGTAAATAAATCCTCTTTTTAAGCGGATGAAGACCAAGTGGTCCCTCATCATCTCACTAATGAGGTTTATTTTAATGCACTGTATACACTTTATCTTCAGTGACTGCTAATGTTAAATGACAAATATGCATAAGTATATATAAATATATATATATATTTTTTGGTTTGACTTAATCTTTGATAACATTTGGTAATTGTGCTTTGGATTATTTGTCTTGGCTATGATGTCATGTAAAGGTCAATCACTGCCACAAAATGTATTCATGTCAAAATAAAAGCACAATAACTAATTGTCTCTCTCAGTCTGTTAACAATAAGCAAAGTATCCTCCTCTCACTTTTGCTTTGTTTCTCTATGACATACTGGGATACCCAGAAAATAAGGCTTCAGCATTACTTCTTTATAAATGTTCACAGATTTATACATCTGTAGTCTGATAGTAACAACTTTGAACAGACACATGCAAGCTATAAAACCACATTTCTGTTAGCAGTGCTTGGCCACCCAGGTGCCAGCAACAAATGATTGACATGTGGGGTGAGGTTTGCATGTGACATTTCAAAGATGGCCATACAATGAGAAGCATTTTTTTGCAACTTAAGTATGTCRTGGAGATTTCTCTTGGTTGCCTTCTCAAAATTTCAGCTCACTATTTCTAAAAAAATGTCTGGGTTGTTGCCATTTGAAATTAGCTTTGGCAGCCATTTTGGATTTTGTGTTTAAAACCAGATTTTGCAAACAATGTTTTCTTAGCAACTTCGCTAATTTTCAGATRTGTGTTTAAAAATAGCTGAATTATAGCCTTATGGCTTAGTGAAATTAACATTGTCAGTTTTATTTAGGACTCACAATCAACATTTTTTTTWAATCATTTTTAGGTACGACAAAATTTCAGCTCAATATTTCTTAAAACAAATACATTAGTCATTTGACGTTAGCTGTGGAGGCCATCTTGAATTTTCAAATCCTAAGTAGTTTTATTAATTTGTATGTGCCCCCCTAAAAACCACCTTGGCCACTGCTGAGCCACCCCATGCAAAAATGTCTAGCTCCGCCCCTGTTCCTGACAGTCTTTATAAACTCTTGTAGTGATCGTTTCAGTCTAACCTTGAATGTTACGTTACGCACAAACTAAAATTGGAGTTGGTTTTGTTTTTTAAAGTCAGCTGGCCGTGGCGGTCATCTCRAATTGGGTTGACTCTAAAAAGGTAATCAGTTGGAAAAGTACTTTCTGTGAGTTATTTCTGAAAATTTCGATAAAATCAGTTCGTGCTCAGGATATGTCGACGATGACTAAGCTTCTACTGTACAAGTCAAAAACAGGCCGAATGTGGCCCACGGGCCGTCGTGCAATATCTCTGTAGTACACTTAAACTTTACCATATGCAACACGAAAAGCATCTTGAACCTTACATKCATGTAACATACATCACAAGCTTAACTTTTTTATGCTTCATGTAAAATGATCTCAAAATACAGAACGAGCAAAAATTAAAACAAAGTCAAGTTTGAAAGAACTCTTTAATCCTGTTTACATTTCCAGTCCTCCAGCATTTGACTGGAGAAAAAGACATGAATCTACAGATAAAAACAGAACAAACAGTTAAAACTATTTTCAAGATCAATATTTTCAGGCTAAACGTATCAAATCGAACCCACTGTTATGTTTGTGTAAATGACTAGAAAATCGCCTTGTATAGTAAAATAGAAAATATATAGCRGTACAGTATAAACACAGTCATTTTGGCCTTTTCTAGTATTTAGGAATATTTACACAGAATGGGTTTGATGCCAGTTAAACCGATCAGAACCACAGATCGATGATTTTTGAAACAGTCATAGCAAAATGTTCCGGTCGGGACTTCAAACTGAAAATGTTTAACGGTGAATATTCTCACCTGAATAATAGTTAGGTTCTTTTTTTTTTTTTGCTCATATTGATGGGAACAAATTAAATGTTATATTTTAAACATCATTTTACAGTAAATAAAACATCTGCATTGTGTGAGCTTCAWATTTTGGCGCATTAAGTTTAATGTACAGTGATGTGGTTTACAAAAGGCACTGGCAAGGAGACATGAATGAACAAAAATCAGATCAAAATAAAAAATTAATTCTGGTTATTTTTCTAAATAAGAATAATTTGAACTCAAATTTCAGCTGGTTTGTGTGCAAAGCATAAAACGTAAATGTGTTAAATAATAATTTGTCTTATTTATTAAGTATAGAGGTCATTTAGCTATTCTATTTTAACTCCTACCTTATTCAGAAATTTCTTGACAGGAAGTCAAAAGCAGCTAAAGATAATAAAAGGGTTAACGATTTAAAAATGTCTCCGAAAATATTTGAGAAAAGCCATTCTTCATAGATGTTTAGCCTTTTTGGTTCTGCGTCAAAATACGCCTTTACATCTCCAAATATATTTTTTCAACTTATATTCTTTTCTTCTTTTTATAAAAAAAGCACATCTGAGTTATACTAAAAATATAAAATATAAAGGAAAAATAGTCAGCTGAAATACCCTTGTTGTGCCACTAGGTGGCGAAAACATCCACGTTAATGGCAAATCAAAAAACAGTAAGAAATATTTTTTATTTTTTTAAGTTCGATAAACATTTTCTTAAAATTAGTTTTTTCCCCACTTTCTCCATTTAGTTTTTAATCATTTCAAGACATGATCAAAGTTTAGTGGAAACAAGAACAGGAAAAATCAAGACAGATGTAGAGAAAACTAAAAAACAGCTCTGTTGTTTCTGTGGTACAAAGTGAAAATGTGTAAAATAGTCTGCTATTTTATTACCTCTGAAAAGCTTTGTATTTACAGTCAAAAACAAAACAATAAAAAATGAAAAAAAAAAGAGTGAGTTGCCATTGTTGGGAACAATATGTCTGCAGGTTGTGGTTGTTACGATTTAAAGATCAAAAGTTTATCCAGAGACTAATTAGTTTTTAAAAGCTGGCTTAATTCAGGTGTACAAAGCACGAGGACACTGGATATTAAAACTAGAGTCAGGACCAGAACCAAGAAGCTGAAGCCACAAAGAACAAGTGCCTCCTAGTGGCTTGCTGCAGTACAATTTTGAAGCCACACCCCCTTCATGTAAATGTATAGGAAATTTTCCAGATGTAAAAATATACTTAAAAATAAAGTTTTTCTTTTTCTCTCTTTTTTGCTGATTCGTGTTCTTACTTTCCTGCTGTACGTTAATTTGGTGTCTGATTATGCCAGAACTGATACTGTGTTAATCAGTCATTTTTAATTTTTCCAACCTATCAGACGTGCACAGTTGGGATTTATGAAAAAAGAAAAGCCTAGGATAAGGTTAACTCATTAACAGTAAAGTTCCTGTTTGGAAAAACAAAAGAGTTGTTGTGGGTTGTTCCTTTTAAAATGACTCCAGWGAGTAAAGATGTGTATTAAAGCATTAGGAGGCTCACTTTCCACAGCTGTGACCCTGACAACGTGTAAAGTGGGTGTTTGTGCAACAGGTCAGAGTTTGGGTCTACATGAGTGACTCCAGGCTCTCTGCAACGTTGGACTGGCCCAGTGGTACGGATCCGTTGGTCTCTGGACTCTGCAGGGCTTTCTGGTCCTCCTGGCTGCTCACTAGGCTCAGGACGGCTCGGTACAGATACTGGTACTGCTCCTGTTGTGGGGGATTAAATCACACTTTCACTGCAACAATCGTGTAAAATCCACCTCAGCTGGTTCTGTGTCGGTTCTTACAATATCGTTAAAAACTCCCGGCCTCATCAGGTTGGTCATTCGTGCCACCAGGTAGACATCCACCGCTCCCTCCTGCTCCAGCTGACTGAACAGGGTGGAGAGGGCGCAGAACAGGCCCGATGTAGAGCCTCCCAAACTGCACACAAACAGAAACGCACATTGAGCCTCCAGCAGGTGGACGCAGGTGAGTAATCCTGTTTTACTCACGGATCGTGGACGACTACAGGTCCCTGTACGTGTCTGCTGTGGTCTCTGACTGCGCTGACGAGATCAAAGCTGTTTCTGATGGGACTGTCTGGATTAGGCCAGCAGGGGGTGCTAAAATGACGCATGTTGAACACGCAGTCATCCTTTCAGGAAACAAGTCGAAGCAAAAGGAAAAAGACTATGTTTCATACATATAAAATAATGTGTATAAAAATAGCATAAAATGTTAAATGTTTGTGTTGGGTTGATTATGTCTTTGTTGTAACAACGTGTCTTGGCAAACAAAAATCTTGGAAAGCTTTATAATTTCAGCTTAGACGGTTTAACTCAGTGACTCAGCATTTTTTACACATACTTGTACAAAATGCTCCGATAACCAAAACCATGTTACAGTTTACATTTCGAGTGAAAAGTTTGTCACTCACATGTTAAAAAAAGGTTATACAAGTAAAGAAAATCAATCCGGTTTTATGTGTCATTCTTTGGTTTTTACATTTCAAAATAAAATCGCAAAAAAAACATAATGCACCAGGAGTTCAGGCCATGATGATTTCCAGTTCTGCCAGAAGGTCCCAAATGATGCCCTAACAAAATATAACCACTTGTT